CATTCAAATAATGACTAACTCTGGGTCTCTCTCCATTTCAGTTTCACTACCCTTTCTAAAACTTCAGTCTTCCTTAAAAATTAACAGTCGTTATTAAACACTAAGTCTCTTTCATTTAACAGTCTACAACTAAAGCATTTCTCATAAAAAGAACTTTTCCTTTTTTAATTTTGAGAGAGAGAGAGAGAGAGAAAGAAAGCATGAGCAGGGAAGGGGAGCAGAGGGAGAGAGAAAGAATCTCAAGCAGGCTCCATGCTCATCACCGAGCTCGACGGGGGCTCGATCTCATGACCTTGGGATCACGACCTGAGCCGACACGAAGAATCAGACGCTCAACTGACTGAGCCACCCAGGCACCCTAAAAAGAACTTTTTAGTGTTTGTCATTTATTCTAAGGCTCCAACTACAAAACTATATTAACTTGTGAATTAATGACCTTGCTGCTAAAAACCTGTAGTCATAGTTAAGGTCCAAGTAAACAAACCTGTCAGCCTGAAGTTACGCTAAGCCTCCCCTGACTTAGGCAAATATTGGCTCTCACAAAGGTTCAAAGATATAATTTGCTGACACTATGGACCTTCCTCAAGGTAAAAATAGAGCACTTCAATTAGTACAGACCACTTTTCACATTTAATGGTGAAAAGGACACCATTATAAGATGAACTGCCTCTAGGTGATTTGTTTCTTGGCACCTACAGAGTGTAACATTATCTTATAATTTGATAAACTTAAATCCCTGGTGAATTCTAAGTCAAACTGCTTGCCTAAAGAGTCACTATAATCACCGTACTGTGCAGCTATCAGGACATTCAACTGGTACCCTGAACACAATGTCAGCTTGTTGCAGAGAGAATACCGCACAGATTTAGATCCTTGCACCCGCTTACAAGCAAGGAGTTAGGTGGCCCAATGTCAATGTTCTCCTTAGGACAAAAACAAACCTCAAAAATAACAACAAAAACTTCACACACACACATATTAGCATAAGGACCAATCTAAGGATTAAAATTAACTGATAAATAAAGTGCATAAATTTAGGACTGCAATGACTCCTTACACTGCATTCCCAGCTGAGCCTTTATTTCTTTTTTTAGCTCTGGAAGGGCAGAGGGTAGGTAAGGGATGCTTATGTTCTGATCAAGCCTTTGACAAAACAAAGGTTTTACATGAATGGTAGCAGACATAGCTATGTAATTCCAAAAGTTATGTAACTCAAGAGCTAGTCATGCTCTTTTATCTTTAACCTCTCCTTCTGTCTGTAGGCTCCACTTTTCTACCCCTTTACGGTGTTCAGCTCTGTACCAGCACCCCACCCCACCGCGCGCCTGAGATCTGTAAAAACCTAACACAGTGAAAAGAACCTCGGAGGATCCAATTCAGTCTCCTTGAACTCTAGGAATATCCTAAGTATGCAGAGTCTGATTTTTAAGTTTTAGAGAAAGAGTCCTTTCTCTTCTGGGGTTTTCAGAACCTGGTGAGATTTGGGGGTCTAAAATAACATACCCAAACACTGAAATGTACCACATTTTGGATAAAACGTCACAGGACTTCCAGGTCCTTTGTTAAAGCACCTCCTTTTCCGATTATAGGGTGCTCCAAGGAAACAGTAGTTTCCTTATCTAAGCTCTACAAATCTACTTAATTAAAAAAAAAAAAAAGTAAGTTATCTAGGGGCGCCTGAGTGGCTCTGTCAGTTAAGCATCTGACTCTTGATTTCAGCCTGGGTCATGATCTCAGAGTTCATAAGATTGAGCCCAGAGTTGGGCGCTGCACTGACAGTCTGGAGCCTACTTGGGATTCTCTCTCTTTCTCTCTGCCCCTCCCCTGCTTGCATGCACTCTCTCTCAAAATAAGTAAATACACTTAAAAAAATAATAAAATAAATAAAAAATAAGTTATCTAGAGAAAATAACCTAAAGGCAGAATGTGGCTTTTAAGAATGTGTTTTTGCTTTAGCAAAGAAAACTCTGCCTGTTGCCTCAGGCTAGAGGAGTTTTATTTCATATATAACTTCCTTGGGACTTTCTGCATAACTCCTATAATATACTATTGTGAAAAGATAAAGGGCATTATTGAAACAAAGCAGGAACTAAAAGACAACAATCAAAATAGAAAGTAATAATGAAATATTTTTTAAATCTATATTAAAGAAAGCATTTTTGGGGTGCCGGGGTGGCTCAGTCGGTTGAGCGTCTGACTTAAGCTCAGGTCATGAGCTCAAGGTTCGTGAGTTGGAGCCCTGCATCAGGGTCAAGTTGTCAGCACACTCTGCCCCTCCTAGCTCACACGCTCACTCTCAAAAACAAATAAAGATTATGGGGCGCCTGGGTGGCTTAGTTGGTTAAGCGTCCGACTTTCGCTTAGGTCATGATCTCGCGGTTTGTGGGTTCGAGCCCCGCGTCGGGCTCTGTGCTGACTGCCGGCTCAGAGCCTGGAGCCTGTTTCGGTCTGTGACTCCTTCTCTCTCTGACCCTCCCCTGCTCACGCTGTCTCTCTCTCTCTCTCTCTCTCTCTCTCTCTCTCTCCTAGAAATGAATAAAATAAAAAAATAAAATAAAATAAAACATTAAAAAAAAAACAAAGATTTAAAAGAAAAAAGAGAAAGCACTCTTATAACATTACAAGTTCCCCATAAATAAATAAATGCATACCTCATTTTATTGCACTTCGCTTTTACTGCACTTGGCAGATACTGCATTTTTCAAATTGAAGGTTTGTGACAACAGGGAGTCAAGCAAATCTACTGATAACGTTTTTCCAACAGCATTTGCTCACTTCAGGTCTCTGTGTCACACTGTGGTAATTCTTGCAATGTATCAAACATTTTCATTATTATTATATTTACTATGGTGACCAGTGATCAGTAACTCACTGAAAGCTCAGATAATAGAATTTTTTGGTGATAGGGGCACCTGGGTGGCTCAGCCGGTTAAGTGTCCGACTTTGGCCCAGGTCATGATCTCATGGTTCGCGGGTTCGAGCCCTACATCGGGCTCTCTGCTGACAGCTACCTCAGAGCCTGGAGCCTCCTTCAGATTCTGTATCTCCCTCTCCCCTGCTTGTACTCTCTCTCAAAAATAAATAAAAAATATTTTTAAAAAAATTTTTTAAAGAATTTTTTGGCAATAAAATATTTTAAATTAAGGTATGCATATTTTTTAGACATAATGCTATTGAACACTCAATAGACTACTCAATAGTATAGCGTAAACCTAACTTTTATATGCGGTGGAAAACCTGAAAATTAATTAGACTCGATCTTCACTTTATTGTGGCAGTCTGGAACCCAACCCACCGTACCTGAAACATGCCTGCGAATGGATTTCAAAAGAGACATTAGTTTTTATTCTTTCCCTCTTTCTCCTTATGGTATGATGGAGAACAAGCAGGAATAGTCTACCACCTTTTGCGAGGCAAATTCATCTGCCCCTCTTCTCCACATCCCAGTAAAAAGTCTATCACCAAAATTTCTGGTTGTATTCTTTTCTGGGGCTATGGAACTGCAGTTTATTAAAGTATAAATAAAGTAATGAGAAATTTTACTGTAGCTTTGCCATTTCTGATCAGAAAGGAAAAACAGAACTGAGAATAGGAGATTTAATAGGCAGGACACCAATATTGACACACATTGATGATGTGTGTAGAGCAGCAAGACTATTTCAGATGAATACTAATTCTTTTCTGTTCTAAAGAGTTCTACTATTAATGCACAAACATTTTGGCTCTACTGCAGAGGAACACAGCTGATATCTAAAAGTCATGTTAGAACTGACAAAAGAACAGAAAGAAGCACTTCTGGGTAGAAGGAACGCTGATACAAAAGAACAATGGCAAGAGGGAGCCCCTGATGCCTGCTAAGAACTGAAAGGTTTCCAATGTGGAACTACCTAAAAGGAAGCTGGAGAGAGAGCGAGCCAGACCTCTTGGGTTCCAGAGCCACACTGTCACCTGCCTCCAAGTGATTTCCAAATTATTCCCAGATGTACTCGTTTGATGAGTAATAAGTGGCACTGGTTTTCTGACAGCTATTTTTCTCTTTAATAAAAATAGGCCATCTGAGTTCCAAGAATGTAAGTTCTGGTTATCAGAATTCTAAGAATTTAAGTTCTTCCTAAGGAAACCAACCGGCTATTTTTACTTGAGACGATTAAACAAAACAAAACCAACTTACAAACATTCTAGGCAGTCTGATTTTTCCCCTTCCAGAAAGTGGTCATCTTGGTTAAAAGAGAACTTGAGATGTCAGTATGTAATTCGAATTAAAATTCAAAGGTGTTTTGATATTTTCACTACTAAGTTAAGGCACTTTTACTGCCTAAAGGAAACGGAAACTCCGTGAAACTGAGGGAGAGGTATGTATACCATGCCCTACTTTTGCTACCTGCCCACGAATACAAGCTGTCCCTTTCACTTTGTGTCGCTCCTTCAGAAGTAATTCTTTTCCAGTCAATATAAAACATCGGGGAGACGACTGGCTGAATACTACTCAATACCGTGAGGAGTAACGGAAGACTCTGTTCAACAAATTAAACTGCCCCCATGGGCTTCTACCAGGAAAACCGCAAGAACCAGAGACAGATAAACACAAAGCATTTGGCAGTCTAAATACAGGCACTCCGGGAGATATTGCAGAGTAACAGCTGGGAGAAGAGACGAAGGTCGCAACAGATGATGGAGTGAGAGAAGGCTAAGCGGCTGACTTGGGTTTTCCGACGCATTTCCTGGAGCAGCGTAACATGCTCCGGGGCACTAGTTCGTCATCGGGGACCCAGTCGGGGAGAAACCGGGGCTGAGAGGCCGCCCGGCGGCGGGAAGTAACACCACCACCCCCCCTTTCCAGCAGAGAGAGAAGGAACTGGGGGTGTGGAAACCGCCCCTTCCTGAACAACCAGATTGAGGAGAAGCAATTCGGCAGCCTCGCAAGCCCCGCGGGCCGGCGGCCCCGGGGTCAGACCGTCCCCTGCCCCGGCCAGGCTCGCCCACCCCGGCCGCGGACTCACCAGCTGCAAGACTTTAAACAAGCGCCGATGCAACCGAAGCCGGCCTAGAGAGAAGTAGGCGGCGAGGCCGCTCCGGGCGCCCCTGGCAGGGCCTGGGTTCTCCTCCGTCGTGGGGCTGTACACCGCTCCATTCTCCATCGCCCAGGAACGCGGTGACCGCGCAGGTGGCGCCGCGAACTTCACCGACTCCCAAAGACCACCGGCAGGGCCGTCACTTCCTGGGCCTCCGCCCACGCTTCCGCCCCACCCCGCCCCGCCCCGCCCCGCCTCCGCTCTGGCCCCGCCCCGCCCCGCCCCGCCCCTGCCTCCCTCGGCCTTATCCATTCATCAGACTTCCAAATATCTGGGGAGTTTATTGTTAAGAGAACAGTTTGTTCTGAGGACCGAGAGAGAGAGAGAGAGAGAGAGTAAGGGAGGAGAGGAGATACAGCTGGATATGTAGGCAGAGGCGGCATAATGGAGGGGCCTTGCAGAGCAAGGAAAGAAATTAGGTTTCATTTTGAATGCAATGGATTGTCTGAAAGGACTTTTTGGGATTTCTGCTTCCTGCAACCCTCTAATATTCTTTTAGGCTTAACTTGTCAAAATCTCTGAGATTACTTGTCTCTTCCTTGTTCACCAGCTCCAACAGTCCTATATTTTAATTTCGTGTGAACTTAAAGAAACTCATCAAGGAATGTAATTATAGTTCAGCAACTGAAGTTGATGGAGTTACGTGACAGGCACACATTTTCTCAACAGTATAATGTAGGTAGTATCATTACTTCCACTTTACAGATTAGCAAACTGAGGCCAAGGAGTGGAATATATCCAAGCTCAAACAGCCTGGGGTAGCTGGAATGCAGGCCTACGCAGTCAGACTCACAACCATGTTGCTAACCAAGAACCCAGCAAACCTCTGCCCCTAACTCATGTCTCTGGTAGGGCCTCAAAACCCATAGAAGAGGAGAGAGGTCACTGCTGCCATCTACTTCCATATTTAATCTACTCTTCTCTGTGGCCCCAAACCTCCCCTTCTTCTTCCTGTTGTAGAACAAAAGCTCCTATTCAAACGAATAGAGACAAGTAGATACTACTCTGCGGGGGCTGTGTCCAGCCAGCCCAAAACTGCCCTTCTGTCTTTGATTTAATGCATTCTAAGTGTCCTGCTAGGACCAAGCAGCCACCAATCCTGTTCAAGCAAGTGAGGCCACTGTGTTTTCACCAGGACTACAAGGACTCACTGCCCTGTTATTCTTCAAGTCACCATCATCCCAAATTAGACACTATCCATGTCTGAAATTTACTTTGAAATTCATCCAGAAAAATAAGACAGGCTGATGAGCAGAGCGATGGATAAAAGGATAGACGTGTGATAAAGCCACTGCAGTAACATGGTGGTGGTGTAGTCAATGGGTGTCCACTGTCTTTTTAATTCAACTTTTCTATGTGTTTGGACATTTTCAAAATAAAATATTTAGGGCAAGTTATATGAAAAACAAAACAAAACAATAACTTAGGGGCACCTGGGTGGCATAGTTGGTTAAGTGGCCGAATCTTGATTTTGGCCCAGGTCATGATCTCGCAGTTGATGGGACTGAGCTCCTCATCGGGTTCTACACTGACAGTGCAAAGCCCGTCTGGGATTTTTCTCTCTCTCCTTTCCTCTTTGCCTTTCCCCCTACTTGTCCTCTGTCTCTCAAAATGAATATATAAACCTAAAAGAAAAACTTTGAGCAGGGAAAGAAGATGGACAGATTCTCTCAACCCTCACGGTCTATTTAAGGTGCACTTGGGGAATGCTCTAAGGTGCCTCTGCTTCTCTCTGAATTTAGAAAAGGATCAGAATTTAGTCTGTGAGTCACAAGCTTCGGATGCACAAGAATCATCTGGGAGGTTAACCAAAAATAAGATTCTTGGAGATCTACCCCCCAAATTTCTGAACTTGGGTGGGTCTTGGAAATATACTTTCGTAACAAGTTCTTCAAGGGATACTGGTGAGAATGTGTCAAGGGATAATGTGATAAGAATGAAAGACATTAGGTAGAAGACAGCAAATGTACCGTAACTTCCTTTGTCCTGATTGATTGGGGCTGCCCAAATCAAATGTGTGCATCATTTATATTTTCTTCATAAAAGACCAACTAAAGAGTTTAGGGCTTCATGAACAAACGCCTGTGTTAGGGAGCCCATTTGATGGGCACATCCACATGGAAAACTGTCATGTTTGTTCAGGAATAAGCAACACTGAATAGTTCAACGCTGAGACTTGCCACACTGAACTGAGAAATCTTATTTATGGAGAAAAGATACACCAAAGAGAAAAAAAGAGAGACTCATTTCAATTTTGAAGACTATTCATTTTTCTCCTTTCATATTAAATAGTTAACATTTTTCTAAAATGAAGAATTAGGAAACATTCACAAAAAGAGGTGGTTGGGAAAGTATAGTTTGGTGAGATTTTAGACATTCAAAAAATAATTTGGTGCTGCTTTTTTCAGCTGAGATTTTGATTTTTCAGCAGCCCTTACTCAAAAACGTTCACTGTCCCTCTTATCTATATTAGCAGTTAGGCAATACTGTGTAAACAAAGTTGGGCCTTAGATTAAGTCCTACAACGAGGCCACAGAAACGTCCATTAAAGGACCATGTCATAAAACAGTGATATGGGCCATAAAAGAGAAACAAATTAAGTGTGCTGGGAATTCAGAGCAGAGAGAAATCACTTGTGGCTGAAAGGATCAGCTTGGTGGAGCTTCAAGCTGGAGGTTAACGCTTACATTTGGGGGGCACCTAGGTGACTCAGTTGGTTAAGCAACTGACTCTGGATTTCAACTCCAGTCATGATCTCACAGTTCATGAGTTTGAGCCCCAATCAGGCTCTGCGCTGACAGTGTGAAGCCTGCTTGGGATTCTGTCTCTCTCTCTCTCTCAAAAAAACCCCCAAAAAAACAAAAACAAAAACAAAACAAAAAAAAAAAAGAATACTTATATTTGGACATGCAGAAACAGGACAAAAGGTATTGGAGGCAGAGAAGCAATGGGAAAGAAGGCAAAGGGGTGCACACAGTCACAGAGAATGGAAGGGAGGAAGGACAAAGACTAGTTAAGGGAGACCAACCTTGGAGTCAAATTTTGGAGGGCCTTAAAAATCAGGCTAAAGAGGGGCTCCTGGGTGGCTCAGTCGGTTAAGCGTCCGACTTGGGCTCAGGTCATGATCTCATGGTTTGTGGGTTTGAGCCCCGCATCAGGTTCTGTGCTGACAGCTCTGAGCCTGGATCCTGTTTCAGATTCTGTGTCTTCCTTTCTCTCTACCCCTCCCCTGCTCATGCTCTGTCTCTCTGTCTCAAAAATAAGCTATAAAAAAAAATTTTTTTTTTTAAATCAGGCTAAAGACCTGGGGCTTTCCTTTTATTAGTTGAGCACTGAGGAACCACCCAAGGGGTTTGAGTTAAGAAGTGAAATGACCAGAGCTCTTCCTTGTGGATCTTTTTCTGGCAGCCTTATGTACACTGGATAGGTTACAAAGAGCCACGTAGCGGCTACTGTTAAAGTTCAGGAAAGAGGGAACAGGGGATTAAACTCAGATAGTAATCACGGAAATAGAGGAGAGGGGCTGGCTTGAAGAGAAGCTGTGGGAGGTAAAACCAGTGAGATTTGGAGACTGATTTGTTTGAAGAAGAAGGAGGAATTGAAACAGGTGCTAGGGTTTCAAGCCCATGTAACTAAGAAACTTCAGGGTAATGACAGAGACAGAGAACCTAAGGAATAATTAACTCTTGTTAAGTGTCAAAGTATAAATTTCAGAGTTAAAAAGATGACTCTCATACAAGCATGCTTCAAAAATTTATTAGTAATTAGGAGAATGTAAAAGGTTTCAGAGGAGGATATGTAAGACCTTGGTATGTGCCTATATATAGATATATGTACATATGTGTACATATGTATACAGTGTTTAAAAATATACAGTTAGGGGTGCCTGGGTGGCTCAATGGGGTGAGCATCAGACTCTTAGTTTCGGTTCAGGTCATGATCCCTGGGCCATGGGATTGAGCCCAGTGTTGGGCTCTGTGCTGATCATGGAGCCTGCTTAAGATTCTCTCTCTCTCTCTCTCTCTCTCTCTCTCTCTCTCCCTATGACCCTCTCCCCTACACACTCTCTCTCAAGTTAAAAAATGTGTGTGTGTGTGTATGTGTGTGTGTGTGCATACACATACATATACAGTGAAAGGGGAAAAAATGCTAGAACATGTTGCTAAGTTAGACCCCAAACTGGCTAACATTCGATAAGCATACAATAAAATTGTTGCCTTTGTGATTAACTCTAGCAGAAGGAAATCATTTTCATCCCTACCAGACAAAAATCACTTGTAGCTTATCAATCTTCTCTTTTTATCCTTTATTTTTGAGAGAGAGAGTTTGCAAGTGAGCAAGGGATAGAGATAGAATCCCATGAGGTGCAGAGACAGAGAGAGAGGGAGAGTGCAGAGTCCAGAGTGGGACTTGAGCTCACCTGAAGTGGGGTTGGAACTCACAAACTGTGAAATCATGACCTGAGCTGAAGTCGATGCTTAACCGACTGAGCCACCCAGGTAGCCTTAGCTTATCAGTCTTCTATAATGAATACCTAACTTCACAGACTCTGAGACAGACTCAATAATAAATAGTAAGTCACATAAAATTATCTTTCCTTAGACCAACAATGACCCTTTTTCTGTAAAGGGCCAGATAGTAGGTTTTTCAGGTTATGAGGCACATGTAAGTCTCTGTCGCAACCACTCAATTCTGCTGTTGAAGAGTGAAAGTAGCCATAAATGATACATAACTAAGTGCCATAATGCAGCTATATTCCCATAAAACTTTATGAGAACAGGCACTGGGCTGGATTTGGCTCATGGCTTGCTGGCCCCATTCCAGTTCAGTATTTCTCGAACTTGAATCATCATCATCATCACCTGGAGGGCTTGTCAAACCACAGACTTTTGAGCTCCACCTCCATGGTTTTTGACTTGGTAGATCTTGAGCAGAACCCAAGAATGTGTATTTCTATGAAGTTCCCAGTGATGCTGATGCTGCTGTTCCAAGATCACACTCTGAGAACCACTACTCTAGTATGAAATATGGCATTTAAAGGGCACTCAATAATCCTTTGGCCTCATTTCCAGGTTTCAGATCACTTGTCTTAACCAAAGGAAGATGAAGAACTCAGGTTAGGACAGAGATTTTAATGCCGGA